TCAGCCAGAAAGTACTACAGCCAACAATCTTTCAGGACCTGTACTGTGATAAATGTTTAATCAGCACCCCTTGTTATCAATTCATAGGAAAACGAGTACTGGGAAACTAACTGCAAGAGCCGATTAGCAAACGACCATCCTTCATGCGCAATTCGACCGACCGATCCTCGCCGCAGAAATCTCAGCTCAGTTCGTCGTGGTTTGTTGTGAGTAAAAAGTCAGATTGCAGCGGCTTGGGCAGATAGCTCAGCAGGTTCGGGATATTCAGCTTGCTCCATACCGTCGCAGTGGGATCCGGGCCATGCACCATTGTGATCATCAGTACGTACCGAATGGTTGGGTTTCAAGCCGGTTGGTTGTTTAGGCCATTGACGGCCCAACAATTGATATTCCGAATGAAATATTGTAAAATTCAAGAAAACCGAGTTGAGTGTTCAGTAATGATCGCCTGAAGGAGAGAGAATGTGTATATGTGTGGGTGTGTGGGGGCCAGACTTACTGACCAGTTTGACACTGGAATTGTGATCCGAGGGCAGTGAGTACGACAGTGACTGAGAAGTTCCTTGGCCCCTAGATGTTCTTCTTGTATAGTTTATCGTTCAGACGTTTTCGACTGTGGATTGTTGTTGGTGGCTGACTGTACTTGTATCTGGAGGAAAGTCTGGCTGACGAGAAGGAGTGAGATGAGCGAGGTCTATCAGGTTTGGAGGAAAGTCATGCTGTTGTGAGGTTGTATTCCGTCTAGGTGGTAGTTGGTGGTGATGTTGCTGTGTGTACAGCCACCTGTTGGTGATCGAAGTTGATGACCATTTGGACTTACTTAGTGTGTTTGGTAAGTATTCTACCCAATTCGGTAAGACGTCCTCGTAATCTTTTCAATGCTGTCCATCTCCAATGTTTTCCGATGTCATCTCTTCACTGAACAAACTCTCAAAACCTGGTACGTCCCTATTGTGAACTTCCTATGATTATATCTTCATGAACCTCTCAAGCTAACAAACTTCTTCCTCTGGAAACTTGATCCCTCCCTGGATTGGGTAGATACTACAGACAACCCTTTGTTGATTGAGGCCGCTACTACGTACATATACTTACATGAACAAATTAGAGCGATCCAGAAGTGGATGGTTCAAGAATACATACACTCATTAAGCTTCCCACTGGTTGTAAGTAGATGAAACTGCATTCCTTCACTCCACTTAGGAAATCAATTATTTGTTGAATTAACCAACTGCTAATGGGAATATTCAAAACAGAAAAACAGTGGATTTGATTAATTGTTTGATGCGTGAACAATTTGGAAGGCGCCAGTCTCAATATCTGTAAGCCATTTTTCTCGAATGCTGGTGACTATATGATCCGCACCCATGTATAGTTCTTCTTTGCTGAGAGTAGATTCTTCAGTCTGCACAATAGTCAAGTAAGGATACTTGCATGCTAACCGGCTAACCGGGTCTTTTTGCTTTGGGAATTTGGCATTTTCAACGCCAAGAGCTTCAGCTGTCATGTGGTCGGTTTACAAATTATTTCAGATGCTGTCTATATATGTTGATTATCAGGTTAATAGGGTTACACACCAAGTAATCCATTCAGTTTGTGCCGCAAGTTGGTTCGTATGATATCCGATGGTTTTCCGGCAGATGAATTCTCGTCCCCCGAACCAGTGAGTTCTTCGACTACTTCTTGAATTTGTCTTCCTTGGCTATAAGCTTCAAAGATGACCTTGGCAGTCCATTGATCTCTCACAACTTGAAGCCATGTAGGATTGTTGGACAACTCTCGGCAAAAACTGCCATCACCAGGGAATCGTGTGGCAGTGAGAAGGTAGTACGTCAAGTTGTAGGCGGTTGATACAGTGTAAAGCTGAATTTCACATTTCTTCATCAGCCATATACTGATTCTACAAGGCTGGATGATTGCTGACCTCTGAATTTATGCGAGTGATGTGACGCAACACTTGTTTTTGGATGCCAGAGCTACCATCGGTTTCGACACCCTTTTGGACAACCATAGCTACCTTTTCGTGATTCACAAGGTCATTATAGATTGATTCAAAATACTCCTCTTCTTCAGAAGACAAAAGTTGGGTTGGTGAGTCACTGATGCCTTCGTCATCTTCTTCCTCTTCTCCGTCGTATGGAATCGGTATTTTAGAAAAATGTCGGAAGATTCTTGCATCAAACACCAACTGGCATTCAGGTTCCATGGCCTGCCACACTGCACCGAGGTGGCCATTCCGTCTGTCCCATCCATCAGGTGAACCCTTGGGTGGCACTATATTGAAATTATTGGGTAAGTTTTTCCTGCTTGGACTGGTGGGTACTGATTTTGCAAGACGTACTTGGGGTTTCAGCACTGGGCCTTGCTGAATGCCACAAATCGATTCCAGTTGCTTCTTTGTCGTGATGGACGATCTTCTCCCCTGAAATCATGGGGGAATTTTGTAAGTGTCAGAAAAATGTGACATTATACATGTGAAATAAAAATGGCTTACTGGAAATGAGTTGACCGTCTTGATGGAGACATTACCAATCAAGGCTAACATCATCTTCATTTTTGTGTAGTTCATTTTGTGGTATCGCAGGGCTTCTTGGATCTCTCTGGGGACACGATTACTTTGGCCGGTTTGTCGTCCTAGTACTTCACGTAGTTGCCTTTCGGTCCAGTGGTGTAGTCGGCTCTCGTAATTTTCCAGGGTCAGTCCATCACAAGGGTCAGGACTGGCAGTTGAACGGTTTTGGTCTTCTTCATGGCCATCATACCATGCGGCAGGGGTATCCTCTCGACGATGTTGTCCAGGACTTTCTGTGTCGAATCCATGTCCAGGACTTTCCATGTCAAATCCACTGTCTGAATCGCCTCCGCCCCAATGCTCAGCAGCATGGTTCGTCCGACTGGCCCCAGGTGTACCTGCTCTTCCCCCCCGACCAGCTTGACCACCTCTTCCACCTCGACCAGCTTGACCTCCTTGTCCACCTCGACCGGCTTGACCTCCTCGTCCACCTCGACCGGCTTGACCTCCTCGTCCACCTCCACCGGCGTGTCCTCCTCGTCCACCTCCACCGGCGTGTCCTCCCCGTCCACCTCCACCGGCGTGTCCTCCTCGTCCACCTCCACCGGCGTGTCCTCCCCGTCCACCTCCACCGGCGTGTCCTCCTCGTCCACCTCCACCGGCGTGTCCTCCTCGTCCACCTCCACCGGCGTGTCCTCGACAGGCTCCACCTGGGGCTAGGCCTCCTCCTTCATTGGTTTGGGTACTAGTGGCTGCTAGGTTGGTTGCAGCTGTACGGCTTCGTGTTTGGTGACTGGTTTGATCATTTCTGTGTGATGTGCGGGTTACAACCATGTTGTGAGATTTTTTAGTTTTGGATTAGTATCAAAGGAGGATGTTTTTTTCTACACTTGATCTGAAAGAGAGTGGAGTGGGCAATTGGACTTGGTAAATGATGTGGGTAACTTGGTCGGTTGGATGCAATGGGTGGTTCATCACACCTATCTCACCAGCTGTGCACGAGTTCTTGCTAAAGCAAACAATGTGTTCATGTGTGGGAATATGAGTTTCTGTATGACGTTGAATTGTATAGAATTCAAAATGTGCATTGAATTCAAACAAGCTTGCGTTTTATGGCATGTTGGAAATGCTGTGTCCAGTTGAATGGTACACAATTCTTTAATCAAATTTTATGGCTCGTGGATTTGAATTTCTGTGTGCAGTTGAATGGTATACCATTGTATCTTATGCAAGTCTGAAATCGAGATTAAATTGAAAAAGCTGTAATCTGAGCTAGTTCAAATTCTGGCATCTTGATCATACAGTAAGCATAAACTCTGTTCATGAGTACAAAGTGCAGAAGGAATCGAGATTCAATTGAAAAAGCTGTAGAGATAGATCAATTTCAGGCATCTTGATCATCCAATGTAAGCATAAACTTTGTTCATGTGTAAGCGCGGAATGTCATTTGTTCAATCAAAGAAGTTTTACAGGCTACAATGAACCATTTTTATCATGTGTATAATGTAATGATCATCCTGACTCAGATGTGGGTACATAACCTAATCATATCATGCAATTTCGGTAGGGCCTTGACTATGGGGGGTTGTTGATGCAAAAAGTCAACATTACAATTGAGTTCCGATGGAGGCAGAAGAGGACACAAGACTACCAATGGTTAAATATCAGGTGAAAACACTTGGCACATCAAAATCTTTTAATACTTCAGCTTGCACCCCATCAGGACAATTAGTACAGATATTGTCATTTGCAAGTCTTCTGTGAAGCACTTCAACCACTGACGGTTCCTCAATATATGGTAAGTAACTGTGAAACATGCGGACAATTAGTACAGATATTGTCATTTGCAAGTCTTCTGTGAAGCACTTCAACCACTGATGGTTCCTCAATATATGGTAAGTAACTGTGAAACATGCCCACACCACACCTCTCATCTGCAGGTATATTCACTTGAACCAAAAATTCTTCCTAATTCAGGGGATATAAATTAGCCCACACCACACCTCTCATCCGCAGGTATATTCACTTAAACCAAAAATTCTTCCTACTTCAGGGGGTATAAATTAGGCACAAGGGATATAAATTAGCCACAAGCAGGGGAGGAGTATGAATAGTGCTTTGATGAAGGTGTTGAGTTGTCATGTTCCATTTCACTCTGTTTTCTTTTGTATGCTACACACCTGTCACATCTATGTTACAGTTCATGTTGTACACCTGGGTCAGCAGTGAGCTCGTGGAAGGATCTCTTTCCTTATCCTTTCCACCATCTCACTACTGGTCCCAGGTAAGTCATTTCTTCATCTTCTGTTTCTTTTCTATCTGTTTTTCTCTTTCTTTCTCTTTCATGATCAATCATCACTGAAGTAATGAATCATCCTTTCCACCATCTCACTACTGGTCCCAGTGGATCTCATCAGAAGGTGATACCATAAGGAGTGGCACATGGGGCATATATCTACATGAAGTTTCCTGATCATTTGGATTATTTATTTGTTTTTGTCTTGGGGTGGGGGGAGTCCTAACCAGGCTCGTACACAAATTCCATGCACATGGGGCATATATCTACATGAAGTTTCCTGATCATTTGGATTATTTATTTGTTTTTGTCTGGGGGTGGGGGGAGTCCTAACCAGGCTCGTACACAAATTCCATGATCAGTGGCTCATGGGGCACATGTCTGCATGAATATTACTGAATATTTTACATATCCCATGGCATCAGTCATCCACAGAATTAGAGGGGTTAAAGAAATGACCATAACCCACAAGATCATCTTTTTGCTTGACCTATACATATGTGGATCTGGGTACTATTATAACTATTATATACAAACCTCATGAAGTGCCATCGCAAAAGAATACACCTGCACCCAAGGCTGTTTTCTTTCATGTCATGCATGGAAAGAAATATTAAAGACGAGACCAGTAATACATTCCACTCAATTAATCATGTGATGGCTTGATAATCCAATTCATATTTCTATCAGGTTCTTCAGAATGCTCTTTCAAATCATTACCTATTTATTGGATAATTTTCATCAGTACTACCAGTTTTTTCTTTCAGCCATAGTATTGGGCAATGTCACACATGCCCCATCAATCTTGCCACATTTGACCATGTCATGAAGCATTGAGAAAAACAAAATGATATATGTAACAAAATAAGATATGCAATTCTACTATTTTTTGTCTTGAACCAAATGACTGCTTGATCACATGAAAGATAATGTGTAACAGAGTACTCATAAGCACTTAACCATAAAAGGGCCTCCCAGATGTGTGAGAGCCCCTCCCCCCACTTGAATGATGAATAAATGTTGGCTATGATAAGACCATTTGCATCAGTATGAGTAACCACCTTGCTTGTTTATTGTCCTAGCTGCCCATAATTTATATAATATCTACTTATTCAATAATTAATGGGAGGCCAGAAAAGTCTCTCCTCATTTAATAATTCATAATTCAGGGGAGGCCAGAACATTCTTAGTCTGGGCAACAAAGAGTGCTTGGCATACAGTTTGAACTCATACTGCCAACTGCTTGATAGATACCAATCAAGGCAAGCATCTCATTATCAGGATAAATTTTCTAAAACTACTCATGTATCATCTCTCTCATTTTATACAATAAGATGGGCCATATGCATCTCTAACTGATAACCCAAGTAGCCCAAAGATCCCAGGTAGGCAAGTAGGCTGAAGACCTTTGGAAATTCAAAGAAATATTCCAGATCCAAGCCACCATAAATTCAAGCCACAATAATTGGAGAGTGCGTGGCATGCATTTGGAACTCATCCTTCCAACTTCCTCAAAGCAAGGCGGTCAGCTTATGTTTAGGATAAAATTTCAAAATCAGCTCATGTATCATCTCTCCCCAAGCAAAAAATAGGATGAGGCCATATGGAGCTCTAACTGACCAACACTGCCAGAAGAAGCCAGGTAGCTGTGGGTATTTGACATGTATGATGTGACAATGCAAAAGCACCTTTGCAATATCAGGGTATTTGAAATGTGACAATACAAATGCACCTTTGCAATATCACCTGTAAAATACCCACAGTTGCCTGTCCTTTTCTTGCAGCTTTAGCTGCCTGGAGAAGCCAGGTAGCTGTGGGTATTTGAAAAGTGATAATACAAATGCACCTTTGCAATATCACCTGTAAAATACCCACAGTATTCTTGCAGTGCAAGCTGCCAGAAGAAACCAATTGTAATATCACATGTATGTCAAATACCCAGTTCCCTGGCTTTTTCTTGCAGTGCAAGTAGCCTGAAGAACCCCAGGAGGCTGAAGACAAGCGAAACGCAAAGGAATATTCTGGTGCCAAGCCACAATAAATGGCTCATAATCTCCTCTATTGATGCTCCATCTCGTCTATTGGCTCATAATCTCCTCTATTACCAGGGAGATGGGGCGCAGAGATAAACATAAAAATCAAATGCAAGTCAACATGTGAGTCGCACATTTTGTATTATTGGTGTAAATGCTGTTTATTGACCAAAGACTTCCTATTGTAAGGAATTATCATAAAAAATCAAGCAAACAAGAGTTATATTTTAAATAATTTGGGTCATGAGCATTACCAGTCAAGATGACACGGAACATATGAGCAAGGGAAAAATTAGATAATCCGAAGAGCCCAAAAGGGGGTTCAATGACAAATCATGGGCAATAATAGGGTTCATCCACTGAAATATGTCTTCACAATTCTTGGACAAGACTTGAACTTCTTCAAAATGCATATGAGGTTTATCTTCAAAAGCCTCAAGAACAACACTGGAAGAAAAAATCATCAGAAGAGGGAAAAACATTGTACTATATCATATCTTGGGCAACAATGGAGTGCAACAACAAATCAATTATGTTTTTTTAGCCTTTTGTTAACAAGAATTCCACATCTCCAAAATGCATATCAGTTTTCTCTTCAAAATCTTCATGAACCACACGATCAGCCACTCTAGTGACTTTTGCAGCAATTTGCATGGACATACCAAGCCTAGCAAATGGGCTACGTCCTCGAGGGGGGAGAGTCCCATGGATATAGTCTCTTTGTCGAAAGGTGGCCAGGCACATCATATCCGGCTGAAACTTGATACCAAAGCCACATTCAGGGAAAATGAAGTGCCCATCCTTGACATCGTAACCATCCGCCTTGAAGGCAAGGTTTCCTGTCCTTTTACAGGTGGGGATTGATAAAAGAAAAGCAAAAGGTAGGGATGGTTCGTCTTTGTCGTCAACGTGAGGATGGTTGTAAAAGCCGTTTGTTGTAAAAGTCAGGTTTGAGGAAAAGAATGAATCGGGGGATGAAGGATGTTCAGTGGAAAATGCTGGTTGAAAAAAGGCCGGGATGCAGTGTTCAGTCATGAAAACCTGATTATGTTGGAGGGCGACATTTGCAATCGGGTGAAATAAGTGCCAGAGGATCTGGCCAGCTCGGGTGGAGTCCTTGACGTGTTCTGCGTATTCTTCGGGATTCTTGTCTATTGCCTTCTGATTTCGATAAATGCCCAAGATTTCCAACTTAGCCATGGATTTCCTCCATCCAATGGCAAACATCACACCACCACAAGACCTGCCTGTTGACCTTACCGGATTCACAAATCGCTTGGCTTTGTGAAGAAATAAGCACAAGAATTGTATATCGTCTTTGGTTGATTCACTGATTTTCTTCAGATCAATAAAGTGAATGTCCGCAATAAGTTGTTCATTTCGAGTGGCATCAAAGGCGCGTACGTGGCCGTGGTCGTATAGCTTGAACTTAGAAGGGTCGTTTACATAGCAATAGGCGTCCTCGATTCCTTTGGGTGTTGGGTTGCGCTTGTAAATCGTTTTGTTTGAGGGCTTTTGTCCACCATGCTGCTTAAACCGCTCATTTGCAACAGCCCTTGCTTCCTTCTTTTGTCGATACTCAGCAGTGATAGCGGGAAAAAGGTCGATCGACACCGGTGTTCTGGAAGTAGTACACATCTTGCCAGGCACCCAGTATGTGGTGAGAAGGGAATGAATCCCGTGCTGTTTCTTCTTGGCCCTCCTCGCTGGTCGCTTCCTTTGGGATCTTTGATGCTGATAAGCTTTCATGGATCTACACGTAAACCGGATGATTTGCCAGCAAATAGTACGGCAATTCATACACAGTTTAGGTGTATGATTTCAATCCAGCATCACAGCAAGCAAACCCAGGTGTAGCGATCAGGAAGGAAGGAACCAGTGAAGATAAAATATAACATTTTTAAAACAAAGTCAGAAAATTATGAATATTAGAATAATAGTCAGGTACATACAATGATCTCTTCCGGATCCGTTTTTTCTTAGTACTCTTTGCAGAAGTTGAATCAAGCCCATCTGGCTTGGCTCTCAGAGTAACATTGCGCTTATTGATTATTTGCTCAAGATCAGAGTCTGATGTTGATTCATCACTCGAGTTGCCTGATATGTTATCATCTAAGTTGTAACCCAAATTAGAGGTGTGTTCCATTTGTTGGATTGATTCAAAGGAAATTGGCTTACTGTTGATCAAAGGCCCAATGTCAGGTTCCGACTGCAAACTTAAGCTAGATAAAGTCGACTCCAGGTCCGTAAGACTGGACTCCAGTTCTGACAAGCTCGAACCACTCAGGCTTGGAGGCATGTTGAGCTTAGTTGTAAAACCTACTTCCAGCAGGATATGTAATCCAAGTCGAAGCAAAACATATAGTCAGAATAGGTTTGAATGAAATCAGAAAGGCGGTAGATATCAAGAAAAACATGAGGCAAGTCACACACCGAGTGATTAATCACGGTGATGTAGCTTCAGAGCACGGGATTGATCAAGGAGATGATGATCAATCGTTTGGGAGCGCTCGAGGTGATGAAGCCGTAGTTGCCCGGGGTGATGAAGCCAAATCAATCGGGAGAAATCCAGGGGACGCAGCTGTAGATGATAGAGGTGATGATGCTGATACGATCCTGAGCGATTGATGTGATGATGCTGTAGATCGAGTGAGGTGGTGATGATAGAGATCGATTGAAATCAGGTTGCAGTCGAGGTCCAATGCAAAGGACCAGAGGGGTTAGAATTTGGCAATTGAGGCCAATCGGTAGCCGTTGATGTGTGTTTCCAATCCACAAGAGGCTGTAGACGTTATGCTGATACGATCCTGAGCAATTGATGTGATGATGCTGTAGATCGAGTGAGGTGGTGATGACAGAGATAGATTGAAATCAGGTCGCAGTCGAGGTCGAATGCAAAGGACCAGAGGGGTTAGAATTCAGCAATTGAGGCCAATCGGTAGCGGTTGATGTGTGTTTGCAATCAAAAAGAGGCTGTAGACGTTATGCTTATACGATCCGGAGCGATCGACGTGATGATGCTGTAGATCAAGTGAGGTGGTGATGATAGAGATCGATTGAAATCAGATCACATCGATTGAAATCAGATCGCAGTTGAGGTCGAATGCGAAGGACCAGAGGGGTTAGAATTCAGCAATTGAGGCCTTGATGTGTGTTTGCAATCAACAAGAGTCTGTAGACGATAGAGGTGATGATGCTGATACGATCCTGAGCGATTGATGTGATGATGCTGTAGATCGAGTGAGGTGGTGCTGATAGAGAACGATTGAAATCAGATAGACGCAGTCGAGGTCGAATGCAAAGGACCAGAGAGTTAGAATTCAGTGATAGAGGTCAATCGGTAGGCCAAGCCCACTTGGCAGCCAAGTCGCGTCTGCCCAGTGGGCTCATGAGATGATGAGTGGGAAGGCTCACAGCTGCCAGGGTTGAAGTGTGCGGCCGAGGTGTTCAAATCGATCAGAGGCGCCGTCAACAGCAAGATCGATTTGCCTAGGCGTTGGGGGTAATCAAATCCAGCGCCGATATAGGTTTGCGAGTCCAGCGTGGAATTCGATCGGACGAGCTATGGCTGGCGAGATCAATCAGCGTCTAGTCCAGCGTTGAATTCAATCGCGAGTGAGGTGGTGATGATAGAGAACGATTGAAATCAGATAGACGCAGTCGAGGTCAAATGCAAAGGACCAGAGAGATAGAATTCAGCGATAGAGGTCAATCGGTAGGCCAAGCCCACTTGGCAGCCAAGTGGCTGCCCAGTGGGCTCATGAGATGATGAGTGGGAAGGCTCACAGCTGCCAGGGTTGAAGTGTGCGGCCGAGGTGTTCAAATCGATCAGAGGCGCCGTCAACAGCAAGATCGATTTGCCTAGGCGTTGGGGGCAATCAAATCAAGCGCCGATATAGGTTTGCGAGTCCAGCGTGAATTCGATCGGACAAGCTATGGCTGGCGAGATCAATCAGCTTATGATAGCATGTCAGAAAGGGGAGAAGTAATGCCAAAGCAAATGGAAACAAAAGCGAAGAAGGCAGATTGGTCAGCGCCAAAAAGAAAGACCTGAATGATTGATGAGACTCACTTTTGTCACTGTGACAGAGATGAAGTACAGCAGCGGGTTGGAAATCGATGGTGGAAGAAGTGCAGAGTGAGACCGGGGCTTCGCAACTCACATGGGATGAAGTGCGCAACTCACATGGGATGAAGTGGCCGAGGCCCCCGGCCCTCAGCCCAAGCCCCCTGCCAAACAGGGCTGTGACACCGGTCGAGTTGTTTGCACTCGGGCTGATGAAAAAAGCAAATCTCAGGCAGAAGTCAGACTCGTACACCAGCTAGGGACCGGCACTCTTTACTTTCAGCAAACACAAACACCTCGACCACAAGGATTGCTTCCAACTACACATCGCAAGTATAAATCTCTTTAATCTATCTTCATCTCCTGATTTATCCATACAATTGAGCAGAGCAAGAGAGTTCCACACTGATTTATTTTCTTTTAAACAGGATTTGTGCTACTGGATTGTGTACGTGTCGTCCAGGGAGGCCGGTTGCGAAATCGTACCAACCAATCTCAGGCAGAAGTCAGACTTGTACACCAGCTAGGGAACAGAACTCTTTAATTTCAGCAAACACAAACACCTCGACCACAAGGATTGCTTCCAACTACACATTGCAAGTATAAATCTCTTTAATCTATTGTGATCTCCTGATTTATCCATACAATTGAGCAGAGCAAGAGAGTTCCACACTGATTTATTTTCTTTTAAACAGGATTTGTGCTGCTTGTTTGTGTATATTTGTGCTACTTGTTTGTGTACGTGTTGTCCAGGGACACCTGGTTGGATATTGTTCCATCCATTGGACACTCGAACTAGAAAGGTGAGTAGTCTCTTTAAGTAATATTATAATGACTTTTCAAGAGTTAAAATGACCTTAAATACCTATTGAACAGGGCATTTGTGCTTATCATCGGTCGACCAATTGTCCCGCTAGACCCGCCTTGAGGTACACTGGAATCTAGCTCTGTGAGTAGTACCATATGAAATATCTATCACAAGCTTCAATTCACATCTCATCATAAACAAGTAATATTTTGCAAAGGTTCAAACATGAGAGGTTATGAAGGAGATGGAGGAAAGTCCAAGCGGCGGCCAAAAAAGCCAAAGACACTGAAGGGACACGCTGTGTCCGAGGAAGCCGAGCGAGCCAGTCAACAATTCATCAAATCTATGCAGCCCCAGCCAAATGAACCCAATTCCTCTCAACAGATTCATCAACTCTATCCAACCCGACACCTTGAAAATGAAACCCCAGAACAATACGCCGGAAGAATCAGCCCAGACCCGATAGACCCTCAAGTAGAAAATTTATCCCAATACTTCCAAAACCAACATCACGAACACAGACAAGTCCTGGAAGAAAAACAATGGGAAGAGGTATATGGACCAATGTTCTCCTGTTTCTACGATTGTGCAGCCAAGACAGCAACATGGGGCGATGTCGAAAAATGGAGCCGAGATTGGAAACCGTCTTGTGGCTGTATCCCAACTCGCCAAAGGCCAGTGGTACTTATAGATATTCTCAGTTAAGCACTCAATTTCCTGAAGGGTATATTTGTGCATGCACTGATTTGACATTTAAAATTTTTAGGTCGCAAAGAGGCGCAAGTTGAATTTTGCCACTGCCAGCCAGATCAAGTACGGCTGATCCAGATGGGATACATTGGTGCCACACCCAAATTCCCAAAAACCGCCTTTTCTATCCGACTGCTCCAGTTACATCACATATTATGGAAACATTGTGCCATTGCAATGCTACCCTTCTCCAAAGCTATAGACGAATTTCTTGATAACAACAATCCCCTAATCTTGGTTCCTCACAATGAAGATGAGTTCGAGGAATCAGTCAGTGTAAGTGAATATGCAACCTCACATCTTATATCTAATTGATTCTGAAAGGCATTTGGCCATTTTTTAGACTCGTCATTGGAGAAAGCAGTTAAGTCGAGCTGTTGATGCATTTCGGGAAATGCTTAAAAGAGAAAAGGAATTGGTGGCTCGGGTGATGAATTTGGAACCCTTAGACCAACTTGCTGATATTTGCCCCAAGTGTTATGGACCTCAAGTTGTTGGTAAAAGAGAAGACGAACCAGATTACATCTTATGTATGGATGGAAATTTCCAACATCGCAGACACCTTAAAGCAAGTGTCGAGCACTCCAACAATATTGTAACTCCCAGCCTTTTTGTCCAGCCATGTGAGGTATCTGAGATGGAAGAATCACTAGCACAATCACAACAACCACGACAAAAAATGGAACATATTGTGAGTTGAAATATAGGCATATATGAATAAACATATTACAGCTAAGAATCATTTATATTTGACAATTTAGGATAGGTGCACCGAGCAGCACACGGCGGCAAATGACACCCGAAATGGCACTACTTGGAAGCATTGTGATGATACTGGACTATTTGGGATGGCCTGTCGGCATGATCAAATGATCAGGATGATCAACATCGTCAAGAGTGGTGAGAAGTAAGTTTGTTTATTTTTTAGTCAACTAATGCCCATAAATATGACTTTTTATAATAATGTCATATGATTTTTCAGATCCTACTTCCCTCTAACCATGATTAACCACATGGTACAGATCACCCAAGAAAATTTTGGAGAGCGCAAGAAGCTTGCATTCCTATATGACATAGGATGCAACATTGAGAAAGGAATTATTCGAGTCTGTTGCTGTTTTTTATCTTATCTGGCTCCAGGGTATTTAATTCAAGGCTGATTGACGTGGCTATTATCCAAAATCCAGCGAAATCAATTTCCATTCGAGATGGCTCATAATCTGCTCAAGTTTGGCACAAGTGTCTTCCATGCATATGTGCATGAGTGGACCTGCCAGCTGCGATACAATCCACGATTGAATCACGGGTGGGGAATGTCAGATGGAGAGGGAATGGAGCGTTTGTGGTCACATTTGTCGCCATTAATCAGCCAACTTCGTTATTCCACCAAGAGTCACCGACTCTCAGCAATTGATCTCCAAGTGAATCATCATAATGAAAATCGAAGAACATCAGCCTGTCAGTTTTTTCTTGAGTGCAAAGTATAATAAAATCCAAGCTGAGTAATCCTTGTTCAGTTTGTTTGCTTTTACAAAGAGGCAAGCAAATTGAAGGACTTATGAAAGAATCACAGAAAATACTGTTAGAAGTGGAGAGGTCATCTGGTCACACTTTGTCTTATTTAAAGGAACAATGGAATCGGCAGCGGCAAATGCAACTGGGGGCAATGGAAAATGAGACCGAATTGCAGATGAAACATCAAGTAGAAGAGCTTGTGATGTTGGAGGACCAACTACGAGCAACACAGTCAGTCCATTATTTTGGTCATCTATTGTGCATAACTAATATAATTGTTGCACTAGACAAGAGATGGTTGAACTCGGACAAACAAGGCGCAGGAATCGCACAGAAGCTCAGACGTTGCAGATGGAACAAGGTCCTGATAACCTCCGTGTTTTAGAATCTGAGATAGAAAATATCATTCATGAGCTGGGTTTGGAATATTTTCGCAATCTCCCTGGAGATTCTGGTCAATCATCCTAATAATTTCTTCTCAATAAAATAGCAAAGATTGGCTGACTGATAATTGACTACTTGCACAGGTGAACAAACTAAATTGTTGGTAAAATTGAAAATCAGCAAGTCGAAGTTATATGAGGCCAAGGTTGGAGTGATTGAGCTTCAAAAGAAATGGGATGAACGTGGATCAGGCAAGTAAATACTTCACTTTAACATGGATGTGGCCCTCCTCTTATAAATTTACACTTCAAAAAATAGGCACCCGAATACAGGCACGGTTCAAGAAGCAAATGAATACAAAAATGAAGCTTCTGAAGAATAAATGGATTTCTTACAATCACCGGGCGATCCAATACAATGCAGCATATACACCCAATCCAGATTTACCAACCCCAACATTTGATGAAGTCAAGTCATTTCAAATTAACAATTCCTTCTGGAACATCGGCTTGCTAGATCATCCCAACGAACCCTGGGCCGTCGACATGGAAACTCAGAAGGGTATTCAGGCTTATCTCATGATAACCAACTGTGATGATGAATTACGACGCATATCACGGGAAGCAAGGCAGGCTTTAAATTGGGCTGTAAATATGGCCACCAAAGTTGAGACCATTTTGGAGGCATTGCTTATGGGTGCGTATAATTTCAGACATGTACTCAACTGGAGTTATATATTCTGATTGACCATTTTTGGTTGGACCCTACATAGATGTCCAAGAAACAGATATTCTAAACGAAACTCAGCAGCAATTACGGCATATTTGCACAGCTGAAAATCTGCCAAAGTCAGTTATGGAATCAGTCATTTCTAATGTGGCAAAGAAGTTCTGTAGGCTATGGATAACGTGGAACTCTAGCTGTACTAAGGTCTTACTGTGGAGTCAGCAGTGGATTGATGAACCAGGTGGAGACATTGAGCTGAGAGAAAAATGGGACAATGTCATTGTGAAGAATAGGACATTGTGGGAAAAACTATGTGGAGAGGCAGTGATAGTAGAACATGAAAATGAAGAAGAAGAGGAGGATCAAGAGGAACCAACTTTTCCACATGAATTTGATGATTATTTAGAGTGATAGCCATTTTAATATTAGTTTGATTTCCAATAATGTTTAATAGATAATAAGAAAATGATGAATATATACATGAGCTGGTCAAGCAGGCATGTCTGGGTCCTAGAGCTGGCTGTGCTGTCCCAGAGCTGACTGAGCTGGCTCCTGGAGATGAAAGAGCTGGCCAGACTGGTTTTCAGATCTGACGGAATGAGCTTGCCAATTAGTCTCCAAGAGGTCGCTGATGTAGTGTCATGAGATGAAAGAGCTGGATTGGCTGAGATGGGTCCAAGAGCCCGATGAGCTGTCTGAGAGATGGAAGAGCTGGATTCAATGGCCCACTATGCTGACAGAGCTGTCTGAGCTGAATGAGCCAGCAGAGCTGGATGAGCTGGGTTCAAGATCTGGCTGAGCTGCCTGAGCTGGCTTCAAGACCTTTCTGAGCTGTATTATCTGGCCGCTGGATCCAAGATCTGGGTGAGCAGGATCTGAGAGCTGACTGGGCTGGCTGAGCTGGCTCCAAGACATTCCTGAGATGGCAAAGGAGCTGGATGAGCTGGATCCAAGAGGTGAGTGAGCTGGATGAGCTGGCCTCAATACAAGAGCCGGATGAGCTGGATCCAAGATCCCACTTAGCTGCCCTCAGGAGCTGACTGAGCTGACTCCGGGAGCTGGATGAGCTGGGACCCAGATGTGAATGAACTGGATCAGAGAGCCGAATGAGCTGGCTCCAGGAGCTGAATGAGCTGGCTCCAGGAGTGGAATGAGCTGGGACCCAGATGTGGATGAACTGGCTCAGAGAGCTGAAGGAGGTGGCTCCAGGAGCTGAATGAGCTGGCTCAGCCTCCAGGACCTGAATGAGCTGGCTGAGCTGGATCAAAGAGCTGGATGAGCTGGATCCAAGAGCTGGATGAGCTGGATCCAAGAGCTGGATGAGCTGGATTGCAGAGCTGAATGAGCTGGCTTGCAGAGCTGAATGAGCTGGCTTTCAGAGATGAATGAGCTGGGACCAAGAGTTGAATGGGCTCGGACCAAGAGCTGAATGAGCTGGCTGAGCTGGTTCGGGGAGCTGGATGAGCTGGATGAGCTGGATGAGCTGGCTTGGGGAGCTGGATGAGCTGGATGAGCTGGATCCAAGAGCTGGATGAGCTGGATTGCAGAGCTGAATGAGCTGGCTTGCAGAGCTGAATGAGCTGGCTTTCAGAGATGAATGAGCTGGGACCAAGAGTTGAATGAGCTCGGACCAAGAGCTGAATGAGCTGGCTGAGCTGGTTCGGGGAGCTGGATGAGCTGGACTCGTATGCATAGGCTTGGGGGGCTGGATGAGCTGCCTGAGC